TCTTCATCGATCAAGTCTTCAGGGGTTTTCATTTTATAACCTGCTTTGAAAAGCGAAAACAATCCAGCAGAGTACCTTGCCTCACTTCCAGTCATCCTTACGCGGTGATACGGCGGGTGCAATCGACCATTCGTCCATGCCTGCAGAAATCAATTCCAATAACAAATTGAAGTGTTTACGTTCGTATTTTTTGAATTTACTTAAACTAGAATTTAAACTTCAAATCTTGAGCAAATATATTATCAAATAAACTCATGGAATGTAGAAAGAACAGTGACTTACTCTAAAGGATTCCCCAATCATGATGACAAAAGAGTGATCTTGTGAGAGTTCCACACCAATCCACTCACCATTTTTGGTTTGTACCTCCAGCCCATCAACTAGATTTTGATACAATATAGTAATTAAGTTCTTATCTGTGTGGGCCTTTGAGGTATACGTTGGTTCAGTAATTTGAGGCACTTGATATTTCATTACTCTAAGAACACAAGTAGTCGAGCTCATGTGTTCATCCAAGTAATTTCCAAGACTCAAGCTCTCCAAAATCATCCTTCTTATGAGTTTCTCAAATTCTGATACTTTTGTTGAGAAATAGTCTATATTTTTTCTGCAGAAAACAGAAGGAAGATTTTGGATTAATTACAAGGGAAGTTGGGATATATAACAATACATTTTTCCAGTGATTTATGATCACTCAACCTAACCGATGTGCTGGTGGATCAAGTTCTGTTTCACCTTCGTTAGCCCATATGAAAATAATAGTTGATTATAGGAAGGAACCTGTTTAATAGCATCCAACAAAGGTATATTGATCCTTACCTGTTTGAAAATTTCAAAAATTTCAGAGTTGTGATTGACTTTCCTTTGTTTGGTCATGGCTTGAGGAAATGGAAGTGCTGGTGGTGAATCAGTCGTTTCTTTGCAATTTTCAGATTCAACCCCTTCCTTACCGTCAGAGATTAACTCATCATCTTTCTCATAAGGTTCAAGAGAGAGTTTTTTAATAACCTTACCACTGCGTAGAGTAGTGACTGATTTGACTTGATCCATGTGTTGGCTTCCAGAACTACTTGCATTTGCATTGTATTGCCCCTTGGGATTTTGTTATGGTTGAGATGAAAACTTACCTTTCTCTTGGAAACTAAGAGCAGATGTTAATTTTGCAAGAGTATCTTTAAAATCTATCATGTTTTGAGCAAGTTGAGTATTGATTGTCTCTTGCTTTTCAATGAATGCATGCAATGTTTCCTCAAGATTTCTTCTAGGAGGTGGAGCATAAGGAGGGGCATATCCATGAGAATTTTGGAAATTATGGTGTGCTTGAAATGGTGGTTGTGAAGTTTGTGCATTGTTGTTCTCACTCTTCTAACTGAAATTTGGGTGATTTCTCCAACCAAGGTTGTATGTTTGCGAGTATGGGTTATGGTTGGGCCTTTGGAAACTGTTTAAAGCATGAGCTTGTTCATGGAGACATTCCTTAAAAGAAGGGAAGGTTGAACAATTGTTGGTTGAGTGTTCATTTGTTTCACAGATTTGACACACAATGTTTTCAACAGATTTTAATTGACCACTCTTTTTCAATTCTAGTGCCTCGACTTTTCTAGCTAAAGATGCAAACTTGGCTTGAAGGTCATGATCTTCCCTAAGGTTGTACATACCTCCACTAGATGTATGAGGTTGAGTTTTACTCGGTGCCTCATAAGTATCCGTCGTGTCCCAATTTTGAGCATTTTCAGCTAACAGGTCTAAGTACTCCATTGCTTCATTAGGGTCTTTATCTTCAAAAGTTCCATTGCACATCAATTCAACCATTTGCCTATCTTTAGGTGTTAACCCTTCATAGAAATGTGAAACCAATCTCCATGTTTCAAAACCATGATGAGGGCAAGTACTAAACAAGTCTCGATACCTATCCCAACATTGGTAAAATGTTTCTCCTGGTTTTTGAGTGAAAGTAGTGATTTGTCTTTTGAAAGAGTTTGTTCTGTGAGATGGGAAAAACTTCTTCACAAACTGTTGTTGCATTTCATCCCAAGCACGAATGGATTCTGGTCTTAAATTTTATAGCCATGTTTTAGCTTTATCTTTTAATGAAAAAGGAAAAAGCTTTAATCTGATGGTGTTCATGCTACAATTTAAATTATTATATGTGTTGCAGACCTCCTCAAATTCCCTTAAATGCAAGTATGGATTTTCCAATTCTAAGCCATGAAAAGAAGGTAAAAGTTGAATAATACCTGGTTTAAAATTAAAATGAGATGCATCGGGAGGAAAAACTATGCATGATGGTGCACTTGTTCTTGTGGGATTCATGTGGTCTCTAAGTGTTCTAACATGGTTATTCTCATTATGAAGTGATTGATTATCTTCTTCGACCATATTTTCTGAAAATGATGAGGATACCCTACAAAGTCTACCACTTGATGTACGTGACCACACTCTCATGCACCTGTAGGAATAGAATAAAAAAAAAAAGAAAACAAAAGAAGAAGAAACAAGAGAAAAGAAACAAAGTTATATACAAGAAAAGTGAAAAGAGAAAATAAAATAAATATTATAATTTATACAAAACTTACCTCCCCAGCAACGACGCCAAAAACTTGACACGACTAAAAGATTGATGTCTTCTCCCAAGTGTAGGAGTGTCGAAGTAATAAATAACCCGGCAAGACCAGTGTCAAACCACAGGGAGGTTAATTATATAAATTATAAACAACAATAACAACAATAATAACAATAACAACAATAACAACAAC